CGACAACTTATTTGTTCTAATTCTATCATCCTTAGTGTCTTTGAGACCTGGAATTCTAGGCACAGGACCAAGGCAATCTTGACGTATGACAGAGGTTAAACAAAATTCCAGTGTGATCCTGAAATGGCAGTACCAGTTTTAACTCATAATGTATTTCACCTTGAAAAAAATTATTTCCTATTTATGTTCATTAAAAAATACCTAGAAACAATGACCAAGCTAGCAGCAACCCTTATATCTACATTATGGTTTTTAAATACCATTTCCTACTTACATAACTTGGGTTCTTTAGAGAAATGGATAAATCCTGGTTCTGAGGCCAGATATGTGTGAGGTAAGCAGGAAAGACCAATGATACCCCTGGCCAAAGATGGGAAAATTAGACCATCAGTATGAATAATAACTATAAGTTATACTCTTAATGATATCAAAGTATTAGCCACTTTTGAAGAATGCTATGGGATGAGTTAATTATTTTGAAAACCAGTAAATAGAGAGAGCTAGAGGCATGGCTCAAGGGGTATAGCTCTTGCCTAGGCCCTGAGTTGGTTTAAACTGCCCAGAGAAGTAAAATAAGGACGAGAAAGAATCATGTGTTTATCCTTCTTCTCCTGTATGAATTGTCCCTCAGGCTAACCAATCAAGGGGTTTCTCCTTACCGAAGTCTTCCAGCTGTCAAATAAACAAAACATAATAAAATTAGAATATTGTAATTTTCCAATCCTTAAAAAATAATTGGTCTAGGTAATGATCACCAATAGCTACTAAAATCATAGAATGAAGGTCAACAATATGACCTTGAAGCATATTTGCAAGAAATGTCAAACCTGCATCTGCACTTTTAGATTTTCCCATCAATACACAGAAAACTCAGAAGACAGAGAACAGGTTAAGTAACACAAAAGGGGTGCAACCAGAAAAATTCAGAGTTTGTGAAACTCTGCAGTACAAATGTTCCAAGAAAAACTGCAAGGAGAAAAAAAGAGTAGGAATACTCAGATTAGGGATTGATCAATCAACTGAAATCTATGAACCTTATGGGGTTTTGTTTGTTTTTACGGTACTGGAGTTTGAACTCAGGGCCTTGCTAAGCAGGTGCTCTACCACTGTAAGCCACAACCCTCCAACCCCTATTCTGATCTTTTTTTGGGGAGGGAGTACTGGGGTTTGAACTCAGGGCCTCATGCTTGTTAGACAGGTACTCTTACCCCTTGAGCCACTCCCCCAGCCCTTTTTTCTGATGGGTTTTTTTGAGATTGGGTCCCTTGAACTATTTTGCCTGGGGCTGGCTTTGAACCATGATCCTCCTAATCTCTGCCTCCTGACTGGCTAGGATTACAGGCATGAGTCTCCAGTGCCTGGCTCCCTATTCTTGATTTGAATAAGCAAACCATAAAAAATCATTTGTAGATAATTATACTTTAATCCTATTCTCTCAACTTTTGTATGTTTGAAATTTTCTATATTGAAATGATAAAAACAGTTAACCCACATTAAGTGCTTATTAGATATGAGACACTTCAGTCACTTCACGTCCCCTTGGCTGGGACCATATCTCAGTGATGGAGGGTTTGCCTAACATGTGCAAGGCTCTGGGTTCTAGCTCTAGCAACAAACAAATAAAAAATTGCAAAACTATCCCCCTTTCCAGAAGGTGGGTATTCATCACAACTACACAATGAGGAAACCAAGGTACAGAGTGGTTAAGCACCTTGCACAGCTAATAAGTCATGGCATTAGAGGCTAGAAGTATGGCTCAGTGGTAGATTGCTTGCCTAGCATAATTTGAGGTCCTGGGTTCAAGTCCCAGCATGGTGTGAGGAGGGTGGGCAGGGTTTACTTCAGAATCTATTTTCTAACCTGTAAGAACTACGTCTCATAACCATGGTAGCTTGAACTAGGGTGATGACAGTGAGGAGAAGTGGATGGGCTGAAGAGATACCCAGAAGGTAAGGGTAAAATTGCACGTGAGGCTACATGTCATGGAAGGGTCCAGGATATCTATCTATCAGGTTTCTGGTTGCATCATGGGATAGATGGTGCTACCATTCATTGAAACAGGAAAAGTGAGAGAGAATCAGGTCTGGAGGGTAAAGATGATTTGGGTTTGGAGCATGCCTCTCTGAGGTGGCTTTGAGCCATTCAGGTTACATCACTGGGTAGCTGACAAAACAGGCATTCTGACTGGTTAATTTTCTGGCTTCCTCCTCTTTAGAACTGTATCCTTTTCCTTGGTGGGGCCACTTTTCTAGTTTTGAGATGTAAATTAATAGTCTATTTTTTAAAATCAGAGGTGTTGGAGGTGTCACCTGCACATTTTGTAAGGCTGCTTTCACTCCATTGTCTAAGAAACTGGAAAAAAATAGGCCACTTACTCAACCATGTCTTTATTACTATGTTCCAATCATTGGATTAGGTACTTATATAAATTTATATCATTTACTCCTCTCCTACACATTGCTCAAACAGTTATAAAGATCTTATTCTTCTCACTATATAAATAAGGGAACTGAAATTCAAAAGCCCAAAGTTACAAAGCTGTGAAGTAGCAGTGTGTACTCCCAGTTTGTGTTCTGCCATTATGTCTGCTTTTCAGTGGGCAATGGGGCAATGACTTGGGTGATTCATGATTACAGCATGTGACAGAATAACATGGCATGTACAAACTATCAAAGTGAGACAGCTCCTCTGTTGCATTTTTCATTCAACCCTCTACTATAACCTGGGGAACAACGCACTTAGGTGCTAGTACATCTTTACCATTGCTAATGCTTGTTAAATCTCTGTTTTCATCCAAGACATGGTATACCTCAGGTTTACTCCTGAGCAAATAATAACAAGAATTTAATCATTACCTTATTTTCACTCTGTATTTTTAAGGGATCCCTTCTATTTATTAATTAGTGGTATTCGTATTTCCATATATACAGCAATATAGAATTTTACTTCAAAATAGATTTAAGTAAAAAATAAATTGAGTAAAAGAACACTGTGATGATTAATCTTGATTGTCAACCTGATTGGACTGAAAGACACGCAGGAGATGAGCATGTCTTTGGGTGTGACTGTGAGGGTTTCCAGAGAGCATTAACTAAGGGGGCCCAGATGGAATGACGGAGTAAAAGGAGGAAGCCCCTAGCACAGGCATGGTCTTTCTGCTTCCTGGCTGCCATTAGGTGAGTGGTTTCCTCTGCACATGCTGCCACGGCCATGGTAATCTGTCTTCTCTCAGGCCCAAAGCAACGGAGTCAGCACTCTATGGACTGAAACCAAATAAATAAAAAATAAATCTTTCCTCCCTTTAACTGTTTCTCTAAGGCATTTGTCACGGTGATGAAGGAGCTAACATAAACACTATTACATACATAGAAGTAATGGTGGTTCAGACATGGAGAAAAGTCACTGGGTAAGACTGGGCTCCAATGGCTGACCTCTGGAAAATTTTTCTTCACCATAGCACCTCCCTGATGATGGCTTCAGTGCTGGCCTCACTTCTCTAACAGTAACTGAATGTCTTGACTGAGACATGATGTGTTACCACCTCACTTAGAAACTCTTAGTCTCTGATCACTGGTGACTGGACACGTCCACTGATCTTGTCACAGACCCAACAATGTCTTTAGTCCTCACTGATCAGACTAGCATATAGGATGGAGCCAGCAGCCTTTGCTGCCTGCTGCATCTCCTATCCCAGGTTCTAGGAAAGAGATAGGGGCAAAGAGTACATAGGCAGTGAGTGATGGCAGTTAACACCCAAGACACTGGGTTATTTTGGAAACCTTAGAATATTCAGATTTTTTTTTAACTAATATCCTTTCTAGTATTAAAGGTGTATTGACTACAATCCCTATCCATTCTTTTTCCCTAAAACTCTTATCCCTCAGTCTTCATAATGATACTATGTTTGCACATTTTGCTCCTCTCTACCATCACCTTCTTTACTGGGACAGAATTGTATTCAGTATATTTGTGACAAATAGGCTGCCTTTAAAAACAATTTTAAGAGTTCTAAACATAGACAAAGACAATAAAAACTCTGGAAGCTACATGTGTTTTAAAAGACATCACTGTCACAGGCAATAATTTTGCCTGTGTATTCCCCAAGGAACTGAAAAGAACATTATAGTCAGTGTAATCCTGCTGGATAGAGACAGTATCTTCTTTTTATTCTTTGTTATGCCTGATACTATCTGGTTCAGCATATTATTAAGAAAAGAAATCTGCATTTAAGATAATTTATCTGTATCCTCTCATTTCCTATGAGTACCACAGAGCTAGTGTTTTTTTCACCACTGGCCTTTCAAAGCACTGTCCAAAGCCCAACAAAAGTAGGTTTAGGGCTGGAGACTAGGCTCAAACGGTAGTGCACCTGACTAGCAAGTGCAAAGCCCTGAGTTCAAATCCCCATTATCAGCAAAAAAAAAAAAAAGTACGTTTAAGTTTTGCAAGGTGAATATTACTATTGGCAAATATCAAATAAACATGTCTTCTTAAACCCACAAGGTCAAACGACAGGTTCCAGTCATTTAGGATGGGGTGGAGGTACTATCGGCATCATGTCTACGGTAGCTATCTCAGCTCCTCAGACCCTGGCTTCATCATACATGGGGCACAAGCAGAGGCTTGACTATGCAACCTCAGACGTGGGGCCATATTCCCACTGTGAAAATGGAAAGTCATCCCATTCTCCTATCTAGGCATGGGAGTTTGGGGCGGGCAGTGGGTGCGTGAATTCGGGGTTGGGGGATATAGGTTGAGGCTGTCTTCGCCCTTGGGGCAAAGGCAGGTGCCCTTTGGGTCTCCCAGCGCCTCGGCTAGTGGCCCTGCCCAGACCATTGTCCACACACCTCGTCCCTCCAGCTTCCGGGCCGCCGGCGAGATGATTTGCTGCAGATGACATCAGCCCTGGGCCAGTGGCTGCAGGAGCAGAGGCAGCCACCGCGCGAGGATGTGCCGGGTGGTCCTTTCCTCCTCCTCTTCCTCCTCCTCCCGGGCTCCCTGCCTAGTCGGCATATAAACGGCGCCGCCTCTCCGCCTCTCACTCCCGGCTCCTCTCCGCCGCGCACTCTCCCGCGCGCGGAGGGCGGAGGGGAGGTGGCGTGCGCGCCGGGAGGAGGGGGGACGCAGGGGGCGGGGCGGAGACAGCACCTTCAGAGATAATCCTTTCTCCTGCCGCAGAGCAGAAGAGCGGCGGGAGAGGAACAGTTCGGCGAGGCACAGCGAGCCGGCAGGATGGCGACCGTGGTGGTGGAAGCCACCGAGCCGGAGCCATCCGGCAGCATCGCCAACCCAGCGGCGTCCACCTCGCCCAGCCTGTCGCACCGCTTCCTAGACAGCAAGTTCTACTTGCTGGTGGTGGTCGGCGAGACCGTGACCGAGGAGCACCTGCGGCGTGCCATCGGCAACATCGAGCTGGGTAAGCAGCCCCGCGCCCCCCGGGACGCGCGCAGGGAGACGCGCAAACACGACCCCACCCAGGGCGCGACGGCCACCTTGTTCTCGGGCGTGCCCCGCACCCACGCCTCTCCTCCCACACTCGATCTGGACCCCTTTCTAGGCTTATTTCAGAGAATAATTCGAATGATTAGATTTAAGACCTAGAGAGAGAGAGAGAGAGAATCTTTAATAACCTTGAGGGATCAGTCACCAGGCTGGGTCCGCAGCCACCGCTGAGTTGGCCACCGCCTTTCCCGCTAACTGAAACGCAGGTGTCAGAGGAGCAAACGCCATAATAAAGCCGCAACCGCAGAATGCAAAGGGAGCTGGGAACCTGATGCGACCATTCCTTTTAGCACCCTTCTTGCCTTAGTAAAAGCCTTGTTCCCTACCCCCCCCCCTTGCCCGCAGACCTGGGCCTGAAATAACCAAGTGCCAGGGCCCGTCTGGGAAACATCCTCGCCATTGCCACCTCAGCCCCCGAGAACGCCTTTTCTGCCTTAAAACTTCCCGATCCTTTCTTTTCTCAGAATGACTAGGCTGTCCTAGGGCCACGCCCGCTCCCCCCACCCCTCGGGACGCAGGGATGGAGAACCGCCTGCGCTTGGTTCCCAGATGAAGCCCGCCTCGCTACCGCCCCTGGGGTCTTAGCTGAGGCTTTCAGAAAGGACAATGGGACCCCAAGTTGTAGGGTGGGGCCTCTCTGAAAAGTCCCATCCTCAGGAGTGATAGCTTAAATGGGGGTGGGGGGAACTCGGCTGGTAGGGCCAGCTCCTTGCTCGGTGCGCGCACCAGAAGCGCGCTCTGCAGAGGCGGAATAGCGGTTCGCGGGGAACCCTGGGTGGGGCTGGGAGGGTCCCCGCGGGCGCAGCCTTGGGTGTGCGGACTGACCAGCCCTTCAACCCCACCCCGGCTGCCGCAGTGTCCCCACCCGGCCGCCGCACCTGCCCCCACCCCCGCACTGCGGCGCCCCCATCAGGCACCGCTGGCGGGCGTGCGCTCCCCGGAGCCTCGGGCTGGCGGGGCTGCGCGCCCCACCTCTCCCTCTGCCCGGCTTTGTTGCGCTCCGAGCTCCCGGGTGGGCACCTCTGATCTCGGCCTTTTCCTTTACCCTCGGCGTCCCCGCCCTCCCCTCGCCCCTGACGGAGGTCGCCGAATCCTTCGGCAGCCCCAGCCCGCGCTCTATTCTCTCGGGGTGGTGCTGAAACGTGTCTGCCGGGAGACACCGGCTGGTGGGCGTGGTGCAGTCCGCACTGCGGTCTCTACGGCAGCCCGAGGCGGACAAAGGGCGTTCACGCAGCGCGCCTTCCCCGCTCCCCCTCACGTCTATAAATGACGGAAGAAAAATCTTGTTTTAGATGAAAAAAACAGACGCTTGTCATCTGCTTCTGCATTTGGAAATGGCCACTTGTCCCCAGAACAAAAGGCTGAAGGGTGGGGACTGGAGTTGCAGACCCAGTTCTTTTGTTTAACTTTAAAGCATTGATTTTTTTTCCTTTCAGCTTAAAACAAAAATGTGAGCAGAAAACAAGATTTTACATTCGAAAAAAATTCAAGAGATTTCAACAGTGAAACACCTTATTTGAGTATCTCAATAACTCCTCATTTTCGAACTATAGGCCTTTGATCCAATCCGTTCTAAATTCATTTGCACATTTTTCTCCTTGAAAAAAATTCACATATACTGACTTTGGGTGTGGCTATTGTGGGAATCAATGACTTTGCATTAAAAAAAAATCATTTGTCAGTAGCGTTGCTGGGAAATAACATTGGGAGGTGCTTTTCTATCTACAAAATTTTCATAACCACCCAAGGTGCCAGGAGGGGGTTCATCACCCCCATTTCAGAGGTGGGGGCCCAGAAAGGCCAGAAGGATAAAAGGATGGGCTCAAGGTCACACCACTTCCCCATGTCAGGAGTGCCAGTACTGCAGTGTCACTCCTTTTTTCTGACCCTGTCATGATGCGCAGAGCAGGCTAACATCAGAAGATTTCAGTACAGCAGTTTTCAGAGCTTGCCTTTGTACAGTCATCCACTTGTGGGCAGCGCCCCATGCAGGGAGATGGTTCAGCGATCACCTTCCGACCATAATTATCTTCCTGCTTTGTTAGTCAGCTGATGATCCTTTCAGCATCCCATTTCTCAGGGGTTTTTTTCAAGTCGCTTCTGTTGTAGGAAAATAGTGCAGCTGAGTACTGCTGTGACGTGCTCCCTTTTAAAAAAATTTTTTATTCATATGTACATAAAATGTTTGGGTCTTTTCTCCCCCCTTCCCCCCGCCCCCTCCCTTAACCATCCCACTCCCTCCCTCTCCCCCTCTTCACCCTCGCTTCCAGGCAGAAACTATTTTGCCCTTATCTCTAATTTTGTTGAAGAGAGAGTATAAGCAATAATAGAAAGGACCAAGGGTTTTTGCTAGTTTAGATAAGGATAGCTATACAGGGAGTTGACTCGCATTGATTTCCTGTGCATGTGTGTTACCTTCTAAGTTAATTCTTCTCAACCTATCTTTCTTTTTATACTACTACTACTTAGTGATAAAATTCAGATTTGTCCCCATGACATTTACATATTATTTTAGATTCCATTTAAGCACTGCATAGAGAGAAAAAGGTCCAAATCATAGGTGAGCATGTCAATGAATTTTTACAAAATGAACATAGAACATACCTGTGTTGTCCAGTTGAGAACTAGATGTTACTGGAATCCCAGAAGTCCCCTGGCATGCTGTCCTGTCCCGTCCTTCTCCCCTCTCACCCCCACCCCCCCATGTTCACTTTGCAATCACTATCCTTTCCTGATTTTTAATTCCCTAATTTGGTCAGGTTTTTGCATGGAAGTTGGAAATGGCTGTTATTGGTCTCATTAAGAATCAGCCAAGTAAGTGAGCAGAGCCATTTTCTCGCTGGCAGTAACAGATGCTGCTGTGCCTCTGGAGATTGCTGTCCTGGGTCCTGGGTTTCTGATGCAGCTCCCCTTGCAGGGCCTTCCAGGGCTAAGTGAAAATGCAGCTCCCCAGCTTCTCAGACAGTCCAAGATGACTTAGCAACAGGGCAGGCAAGCTCTGTTTCTCTGTGCATGGCACATTGCAGGTCCCAGCTGGGCTTTCTTCAGAGGTCACTCTGATGCCACTGCTGTTGTTGCTGGTGCCTTTGGGCCATGTTGTGTGAAGCAAGATGGAGCTGCTCCAGGGGAACCCAGTTCTGACTTGGTATTGCAGGGAGGTTGGGAAAGCAGTTCCTGATCAGTTACACTTTCTTCCTATTTGCCTTTCCCCTTCCATCCTGAAGCTCTGTGGAGTTGGAGACCCAAGTGACTTGGATATTTGCCACCTGATTACTGAGGGCTCTTGGGAAAGCCTAGAAAATCATCCATAAATCATTAGAGACAGTGGTGCTGGAGTAAACTAGCAGGCCTAGAACATCCCAGTGTGGATCCTTTGTAAATGCTTCTTGAAGTCAAGGAAGAGAGAGGATTCTTATTTTTTCAACTGTATTAAAAAAACACAATGTCAGGTTTGGTCATTTCTTTTCTTGAGTTTGAAACAATAGCGTTTCCTTGCACCGATCTAGCTTTATTGGTTTAGTTATACAGGGCTTATTTCAAATCATTGTGGCTACCACCAGTGACTATTCTTTGGCACTTTCTTTGCCTCTTCCTAATTTGCCCCTAATTTTTAGCAGAGGACCTGCTCCTCAGGTTTATTTTAATATCTAGACTACATACATCAATGTCTTGCAGACTGAATTCTAGAGCCTTGTGAAGTGAGTTTTCATGTTATTCTTTTAAAGGAGGGAAAACTTAAGGAATACTAAGTATCAGTTTGATGTTTACAATCACTGTTAGAGTGTAACTGTTCCTCTAGTTAATGTGGGGAATCAACAAGATTTGCTCCTGAGAAGAGAGCTGTGTGGAACATCAGCTGCTCTGGATTTTTAGATGTAAATTCAGCTGATTACATTGTAGCATTCTGATGTTACATTATTGAATGTGTTCACTGTAAAATGGTGAGAGAATTAAGAACACAAGATAAATTTAGAGATTCATTTACATTTTCTTTTAACAAGGAATAAAAAGCCCAAACCATATGTGATAGGAGTTAAGTGACATGGTAGAGAGCCTTAAATTTATTGTGTTCATCTTTCTAGTTTTCAAAGTCAAAAGGCAGATGGATTTCTGCTTACATTGCTTAATTGGTATATCTACCAAGGGCTCTGTGAGCCAAGCTGAAACACAAGCCAGTCCCTAAACTTGAGGTCATTAAATTGACGATTCACTGGGGCTTCTCTAAGAGTTTACTTTTGGAAATAACTCCTAACTTTTAGACTAGTAAATAAATGATTATGAATCACTTTTTGTTTGCTTTTTTTAATTGTAAGACATTATCCAAGACCTGAATTATTATCAATGCTTTGAAATGATGAACTCAGTATGTAAGATATCATCTGCTTTACATATGTAAATATATATTATGAATATCAAGTTAGTGGCTTAAAAAATAAAAGGGAAAAAAGAAAATTGAAGGTTAAATCTAGGAAAAAAATGGGAAGTCTTTTCTTTGAAAAGTAACGTCTTCCTTAACTTAGCATTTCCTTTTTAATTATTTCTTTAATTTATGTGACTGGTTTCAAGTCACTTTTTAGCATTGTTTTACAAATAGAATTTTATGCTTATAGGTTAACCATTTAGTTACTTGCAAAAAAAAAAAAAAAGATCAAAAACCTGTTTCTCAAAGGGAATGACTAAAGTCCATAGAGGAAAATGGGCTCGCTAATGAACTCACTAAATTGTCATATAGAACCCAAGAGCCATCAGTGTGCAGTGCGTGGTCATTCCATTGTGCGTTCTTCAATTTCCTTTAAAAGAGAAGTGCTTATTTTTTACTTTTTTTCACTGTTGGTTTCATTCAATCATCCTGCAAAGTGCTGTCCAATCTTGACATAGTCTTTAGACACCAAGCACACCTGGCTCTTCCTCCTTTTTCACCCTGACATGTTCTGAAATGACCCTTTCCTTTCTTTTCTTCTGTTTCCATCTGTAAATGTGCATATTGGCCTCTTCTTTGTGCACTGATACCCACATGGGGTCAGAGACTGAGAAGAAAAAATCCTTTGTTACCTTCTGGTCACCAAGGATAGACCCAATGGTAGTGCTCATTTCTCAGGGCTGGGCCATAACCTTAGAGCAACCAGGGGTGCCAGATGCCCTTTGGACCCAGATCTGCCCTTTGGACCAGTGGAGGTTCACTGATTCCCACTGCTGGAGTTGTTACCCTCTAAGTAAGCCAGTAAGGGCACAGTCCTCTCAGATTGCTGGAGATGCAAAGCCTCAAGGAAGATCTTGTCCTGGGGTGAATTGGGAAGAGGATAATCAGAAAAGGGCCCTGGAGTTTGCCATGCCTTCTCTGCTCCCACTATAGGTCAGGTTGACCTGCTTTGGGAAGCCTCTTCAGAAGCTCTGTACCAACACCTTGGGATCCCCACCAGTCACAGATTCAGAGAAGGGGGAACATGGAAGGGGCCAGCAAAGGTATTTTCTGTCTTATGAGCCCTGGAGGGCCCACTGTTGGCTTCCTGTTAGGCACAAAGGATAGATATAGAAAAGTACCAAATGCAAATGAGCCTTCATTGAGAAACAATTCTCCCTTTACTAATGTTATCCAGAAGAAGGTGCAAAGTAATTATTGCTGAGTATTTTCTAAAATCAGTATAGAAAGTAGACTGGTTCCAAAATTTTCCTTTCCAACTAAAGTAACTAGTAAATCCATTATAATCTTTATTTTATAAGTGGTAGTAATGATTGTGCATTGTTAAGAAATAATTTGACTGAAAATTTCTCTTTTACAAAGAGAACCCTGAATTTCATTTTAGTTTCTTTAAGAATATGAAAAAGAGGACTTACTTTTTTAATCGGCTGTTTACTAGTTTAAGTTTAAATTGCTAAATAAATTTCTTAATATTTAGCATTTTTTTCAATGCTAAATTATAAATATAATATACAGCAAACATTTAATTGCTTGTGCCATGACAAGTTAATTGAAGTCAAGGGGAAAAAAATGACAGCATAAGAGCAAGTGTACATATCACCCCAGATGAAGTCATTCAAATAATGTAGCACTTTAGACATGACTTAGAACAAAGACAGAAAAATTGTATGAATTCAATTTAAATACATATGTCTCATTATTAACTTATTGACCCAGCTTGACAAGCTAGAAGACAAAGTAGAGCTCTGACCTGGACGACGGAGAATTCAATCAACAATACCAGTTAAGCAGCTCAGACAGGAACTCAGCAATTTTTCACACTAGGCTAGTATATAGTGTATACATTGAAGTAAAATATTCTAATGAATTCAAACCTCTCAACCTGTCAAGCTTTCTGGGAAACAATAAGAACCCATTTATCATTTCTGCACTAAAAAGATCCCACAAAATCTCAATATGCCTTTCTTGTTAAAATTTAAATACTCCATTAGCACAAATACAAACTGAGGCCATTAATGTTTCCAGGGAGACCCATAAAATTCTCCCTTATAATTTAGCCTCTCCTTAGGAATGTTAACTCTTCCATACCTGAATTCTTCTTATTGTTCACATGAGAAGAATGCTTTTATTTAATGGACAATACATCTATTTGAAAATACACCTCATGGCTGGAAAGATTTTTGGTGTATAATCTGAGGATATTTTAGATGTGTAGCAAACTGCTACATATATAATATATATCACATGATCATTTGTAATATATAACATATTATATATGTGATTTGTATTATATTTGTGATTTATTCATGAATAAATCATAAATGGGGGTAAATATGGATTTAGAGGTGTGTTTAACACACTGCCAAGTCTGAATGGAAAGCACATGACCAACTAGAATTATAAAATACCTGGCTGTTTATTTAGAGAGAGCACACTAGCAGAGTGTGAACCCAGAGGTTCAAGCCCCTGTCTCTAGGTGGTAGACAGTAAGTGCTTTTTGTTTCCCAGATTTTCTGGCAATTGAGGATGCTCTATGCAAGGCTGCAATCATAGACACTGTATATTGCCTCCACTGTGAATCTAGTTGGGAAAATATGAAATTCACACCCCATACATTCACCAGAGTTCTGGGGTTCCTCATCTTTCCCTGGCTTGCTTTCTGGGTCTTTCTTATCCAATGGTCTTGGGGTTTCCTCTGAGTCCCCTTTGGGGTGAGGAGGCAGAGGGAAGAGGAAGGAAGAGACTGGGGAGGTAGAGCATGAGTGTAAGAAACCACCATCAGTCTCACTCCTGATGTTCTTTTCAGTCTAGTGAAAGAAAGTTTAAACTGAAAGGAATTTACATCAAAATTTTATAAAGTATTAAAAAGTTGCCACATTTCTTTGCTTCTGGATAAGAAAATTCAGTACAAGTAACAATTGTGAATAAAAGTGCTCCCTGCCAAAGCAGGTCAGGTTAAAAAAAAAAAGGGGGGGGGTCCCATTAGGATGCCAGGCCCAAGTCTTGCGATTCAATCTGCTTATCAAAGATCACACACATTTTGGATTGGTATCCAGGGATTAAAAAACCAAGGTCAAAAGTAGGATGGATTAGGGAAAGAAATGACCCAAGCACACCACAAGAAGATCAGTTGAAAACCAAAGGCCTGGGCTTGCAGTGTATCCCCATGTGCCTTCCCCACCTGCCTTCTATACTTATTGCCACCTACAAGGGGACCCAAGAAAACTAAAGATTGTTTGGTGGCTTTGAGCTGCCAAAGAGCTGGGCATCTTCCTGTTCTTTCTATTCACTTCCTGGAGGACAACCTGTCATTTTCCTAATAACTGTTTTCTTTCACTCTTTCAGCAAAGCTGCACTTACACTTTATGAGGGGCAGAAGTTCAGTCCCCACTGCTAGTGGTCCCTCTCTGTGACCAAGTGGAGAGGCCTCCCCAGCCTTCCCATTTTGTGGGCGTCTACTGCTAGTTACCAAGCTCTGCAGAAAAAAGACTTCCCACATCCTCCTGGAAAACCTGAGAAATGCTGCAGTGGTATTTTCTAAACCGCTCTGAAATGACTGACTGGGTACCCATAAACGGTCTTCCTTTTCCTCCTTAGGAATCCGGTCATGGGACACAAACCTGATTGAATGCAACTTGGACCAAGAACTCAAGCTTTTTGTATCTCGACACTCTGCAAGATTCTCTCCTGATGTTCCAGGTGAGGCTTCTGTTCCATATTAGTCAGTTTAGCATTTGAAGGGACAAGGAGATTGCCTGGGCGTAAAAAACTTTTCCTCTTAATGCTAAAGGATCCTTTGTATTTGTAACTATGTTACCTGGTGGCCACAATTTAAGAAAGTCAAGTCTAAGTTATCATCATGTGAGTTAAGTATTTTATGAATTCTTAGGGAAAGTTTTTAAGTTACAGAGTAATTTTTTTTTTGTCATTTCATTGTACTTTAAGCTCAAGGGATTGCAAACTATTAAAATGTTAATTTTACTCAAATGAAGTTATGAATACTAATTAGGTAATCCCAGAATTCCATAACTCCCTTCTCTAGAAAGAAAAAGGAGATCAGTGTGGCATTTCAAAATGAAATACATAACATCATGTGTATTTATTGCCTTATTGCCCGCCATTGTGTAATCACTTATCTTTCTTAGTTTGCTCAAACTGCTGTTAAAACAGCCTTTCTTCCAGAGATGAAAAAGAATACTGTAGAAAAACTAAGGTAAGGACACAAACATTTGTCATATGTGAAGGCATCCCTGTAACCAGCTGCCTTGCTGGGGGTGTGCCCTGCCCCATGGCTCTGATGCTGGCGATGGATGCGGGTTGACCTGTCATTTCTTCCTCTTGTGAGCTGTGACCCATATTTCTACCAGCTGGTCACATTTGAGTATTCTGAAGCAGAGTTTCTGGCCCGTAAACACTCAAAGCTTAGGAAATGTTTCTCAAAAGGTTTGAGATTGAAGCTGTATTTATTGCATTTTATTTCTTGACTACCACTTGAATTTTATGCAAAGTAGAGAAAGAAACTTTTCTGTCAACATGCTTTTGTTCTATTAGTCCTGATTCCGTTGGCAGTGATAGCACCTCAGGAAAGAGGCTCCAGCGTTTTTGGATGATTAGGTCATATTTTGTTATCCTGTGTGTATTGAGATTTGAAACCACGATATAGAATATCAGTGCCCTCATGAATCATGCTATACCCATGAGACTGTCCCCCAGTTCTTCCTTTTGAATTTAATGTTAGAATAAAACTCTGTACATCTCAGTTATACAAATGAATTGTAACTTTCAAGCACAAAATTGTTCATTTAAACTTAAGTTTGCTGCAAACTTTCAGTCAGTTTAGAAATACTGAAATGGCACCTACAACGTGCCAGGCACTGTGGGGCGTGGAGAGGATGAGGGCACAATGATGAGCAAAACAAACACAGTTGTTACCTTTATTATACACATTTTCTTTTTTTGCAATACTAGGGTTTGAACCCAGGGCCTCACACTTGCTAGGCAGGCACTTTTACCACTTGAGCCACTCCACCAGCCCCATTACATGCATTCTTATGAGAAGACGAGACATTAACAACCACGTTAAGCCTGCATAAAATCCAGCACCCTATATAAAATCTGGGCTTCAAACAGGAGTTCTTTATTTGTTTGTTTTGCTTTGGTTTTAGTTTAGCTTTGTTTTCAGACATTTTTTGGAGGATTAAACTCGGGACATTTTGAAAGTGCTCTACCACTTGAGACACACCCCCAGTCCTTTTGCTTAGTGCTTTTGTCCAAGCTGGCCTTGGACTGTGATCCTGCTACCTCTGCCTCTTGAGTAGCTGAGATTGCAGATGTGCATCACACTACCTGGCCAGTTTGGGGAATTTTTTTTCAGGCCAGCAGAGTTAGAATAAAATACTCAATGCCTTCTGTGGCACAGTAGATTAGAACTCAGGTTGTTGTTTTCTCTGTTTTACATTCTTGTTGATTATTATACCTTTTGTTATTTTTAAGAGTCAAAGATCACTTATAAAAACTGGGGATAGCCTCAAATTGCAGCTAACAGACCCTGACCATAGAACAAGTAGATTTGTTCCATTGTGTTAGTTCATCCCTTGTCCCTTGGTTTTGTGCCCTTGGTCATCTTGGACAAATATTCTTTGAGCACGAAACCTGGAATATAGGTGCATTCTCTACACAAGGTAGGTGTGGCATAGTGTGAATGGGGAGGTGGAGGGTCCCCCATTCTTCAGAATATTAGTCCCTAACAGGCTTTTCTTTTACCTGTCCTGCTTTGGCAGGTAGCACTTTCATTCACAATTGTTAGTTGTGCTGAATTTTCTTATTCAGAAGCAAAGAAATGTGGCAACTTTTTATACTTTATAAAATCTTGATGGAGGTGAAGGGTATGAACTTGCTTTCAGATCAAACTTCCTTTCGCTAGACTGAAAGGAGCACAAGGGTGACAGGAATGATGGCAGTTTCCTTTCAGCCCTGTCCAACTATGGCAGAGCATATAGTCCTTAGAATAGTCAGCTAGGTCCATCTTACTGTCTCAAATCTGTCACAGCACAGGCTGGCCTACAGTCACTCAGCAAGTACCTGCTATGTGCCAGGGCAACCCTCTAATGGTTTGTCTTGATGGGAAGTCTTTCTGGGCACTGGAGTCTGGCACAGATTGGCACAGTGGTCCTGAGAGAAAAAGTGAGGTGCATCAAGAATATTCTTCAGGCTTTCATTCAACTCACAGTATAGCAGCTGCTTTTTCAAAATAAGGCTTATATTAAGTCTTATATCTCCTTATATTTTATGAACTCAAATACTGTCATAGAGTCTTTATTTATGTATTATACCATATGAGTTAAAATCCTTTTTATAGGTGTCCCTATACAAGTAAGACTTAACCATGAGAAGCATAAGTTTATAGAATGTTGTTCATTTTCCTACTTTTTTTTTTTTTTAACAATAGACCTAGCTATCACTACATATAGAAATGGCGGAAGATACCTCCTAGGAATACTGGAAGGGTCCCATGATTATTGTCCACCATTTCAAAACAACAAATGAATAAAAGTCATTCCCAGGACAAAGGACACCAGACTGAAAATCTGTTTCAATTTCTTTTCCCCCATCATTGCCACTTTTATCTGCCCATTAAAATAGTTAGAAATTTTGATAACTCGGTTCCTCACCAGCAACAAAGCATAACAATGAAGAGTACAGATCTTGGAACCCCACATCCCAGTTTAATCCGAGCTCTGCCATTGACCTGCAGCATGATCTCGGACAGTTATTGAGCCATTGATGTCTGGGTTTTCTTGTCTGTTGAGTGGAAATAATCATTTTTACCCCATAGAGTTTTCATGAAGATCAAAAGAATTAGTGTGTATCACATGACACACAAATGGTGCATATCACATGGCAAATAAAATATACATATATATTCAATTCAGCTCTCCATTTAAAAGCTATTTGACTTGTATATTTGGTGACTATCATTGCCTAGGTGAAATATGGGGTTTCACCTAGATATTTGACTGGCTTCCTTGTGATAATTTTAAATTTGTATTAAGGATATTCCTCAGAGAAACAGTTGCCTTTAGTACTCTCAGAAGAGAATGGCTATGTGTAGGGGGCAGCAACATTCTGTTTAGTGAGGTTCTTTGGACATGGGCGCCAAGGAGAGGCAATGCTTTGGTGGGCTGGTAGGTAGGTCCAGAACAGGGTCATAGACATTTGCAAAATGATCTTGTCAGTGACCATGCAAGGCTGCTGATATGTAGTGGGCCCATCCTGCCTTCTCACTGTGATGACCCATCCCCAGAAACTTCCTCACTCCATCCCACCACTCCGTTTTCTCTTCTTCTCTCTCTAGTCAACCAGTGACTATAAACGTCCAGTTTCAAGACACTGAGATTTCCAGTGGCTTATTTTCTTAGCTGAATAAACAGTATGACCTTGGCATATTTACACTTTGTTACAGGTTTTATAGCTTGTAGATGACAGTCACAAAAGCCTTCATATAATGTGATTGATTTTGTAATGTGTATACGGATGGTTTTGTTGAAGAACCCTTGCCTGTTCTATCCATAGAAGATAAACAAAGCACAGTTGAGCATCTTTTAGATTTGTGCTGAATGATAACTAAAAATATTTTCCCAGAGATTGTTTTTTGATAGAGAATTAAAACCAGCCCTTTGAATTTCAGTCATACAATCCTCTCCTCCCTTTGACATTAATGAGGTTTGACAACTAATATTTGCCAGTAGAGCAATAAGAAAATGCTCAAATGCACTGAGAAGAGGGTCTTGGAATATTTTTAGTCATCTTTCTTTGTCTAGACTTGTACATTTAGTCATTGTGTAGAATTATGTCTTAATGGTATGTACGTAGAATTCATCAAATGCTTCATGACAGGGAGTAATGGATGCTTTTCCAGCCCACTTCCAATCTTTAAACAATAAAGTACACAAATATATGCTCCATTTGCATTTGAGGGCTGATTTAACATTCAGGGAACCTGAGATTTCAGAGGGCAGCAGCTACTTTTTTTTCTCTGTCATAGGCGTACAGGCACAGGTTAGGGTACCTGCCCCCATGCCCATATGGCTCACTCATCTATTCTCACTGCGTCATCCTTACCAGGCAATGGGAGGAATCCTGGGATTAGAAGAAAATGAAAATCAGAGAGCCTTATTTTTGTTGAAGTCACCAGACCTCTGTTTAATATCCATTGAGGTCTGTGCTGCCTGCCTGGGAAAGAGACTCATTTTAATGCAAATCCCTCGCCTTTCTCCCACTTGCCCCTGCCCTAAACCTGACCAGTGGCAGGGAGGGCTGCCTGACCCTCAGCCCTGGCTTACCTCCCCCTGCCTGGGGCTCCCATTCACACACCACAGCACGCTGTCTGCATCTTCTTGAAATACCCAAAGGTCCAAATCTTGCAAGGAGCTGATCCAGAGGATTTTGTAGTGGATGTGGTACAAGGCGCAATTCCTGTGAGATTTACATCTTGCTTAGCTTGGGAATTTCGGGGAATTGTTTATATTCATACCCTCACACACTGTGATTTCTTTTTCTTCCTTGGAGCAGGTGTGGTCAACAAAAAGGAAAACAGTGTTTCATTGCTGTGTTCAGGCACTTTCCTTCCTTAGGGTTGTTAATGATGGCTCATTCAGATCACCCTAGAAAGACCTGTTCATCTCAATTTTTTTTTCCTC